CTGTGTGGGATTATTTGATACCCATAAAACCCATAATAGTAAGCTCAGTTGTGCCTGGTTTACAGTGTTCAATAAATGTTCTCTTCCTCCTCTTAGTTCAGCAATGAATTTGACCCATTTAAGTATATTCTCCTTGGATGTATAAGCTAAGCCTAATAGGTATTTTGTTTTGTTGCCCATTTGTCTCAGCAGAGCTTGGTCACCCCAATACGGACCTGAGGCCCTCCTCTTTAGTAACTTGGAAGTTTTTTAACCCACAGAGAAATTTTGATTCCTAAGGGAGAAATTCTTCTGATGGAATATTCAAACTCATCAGAGAAGGAGTGGAAGGGAGACAGTTGTGTGAACTCCTCACCTTGCCGCAGGACCCTCCCCTCCTTGCTGTTTCTTGAACATTCTCGGCATGCTGCCACTTCAGGGACTTGCAACTACTGTTTTTCTGCTTGGAAAGCTCTTCCCCCAGGTATTTGTAGGATTTGTTCCTTTTCGTTCTGGTCTTTCCTCAAATGTTCAAATGTTATTTTCTCAGTGAATGTTTCCTTAACCTTCTATTAAAAATAGCCATTCTCCCCTACCACAGCACTCCCTATCCCTCCCATTTTTCCCTATAACACTTTTTTTTTTTTACCACTCTTGACATATTTTATGTTTTATTTATTGCTTCTTTCTTCCCACTAAAATGTGAGTTTTAAGAGGGCAAGGCTTTTTGGTTTATTTTTTAAGCCAATATATTCCCATCACAGATTGATTCCTGGAACACTGTAACTACCTAATGTCTATTTTGCTGGGTTTTATTTTGTGCAGCTGAATAGGCTAATATATTCCTAAAATCTTCAGGTAGTGATCTGGAAGGCACCTAGCAACTGCAGAATGAATGTGGGTAGTCATTTTGCATCAGTTTCTTTCCTGGCTACATCTGGACTCAGATGAGTTAAGAAAATGGAGAGAAGGAAGAATTAAGTTCCCAAAGTTAGTCGTCAGGAGGCCTCCATCAGCCAGTGGAGGGGCAGCCGGTTACATCGGTATTCAGACCACTGCTTTTAATAGGTGTGAGAGATCTGAATTTAGCAAGTTTTAGTTTGAGACAAGTTTCTTAAAGCATTCTTTAATTCCATTTAGTTCATGGTTTTTAATGTTTTTCTTATTTTCTTTCATTACTGGGTTGAAAGCTAAGAGATGGTGGCTTTAGGATGATGATGATGATATTTACTGATTAAATATTCTGCCCCACCTTTGGTTAAATTCTTCTGATGCTAACAGGAAGAAACTGACAGAAATGGTACCTGTTATGATGGGAAAGAGACTTTCCTTCTAACACTCCATCCAGTGGTAGACAGGGAACTGTGAAATTTATCATTTTTATACAATGGCCATTTTTGATTAATTCTTTTTATGGAAAGATGTTTAGAGTAATTTTTATTAGAGATGAAGAGACACTTAGGGACATGAGGGCGTGAGACACTAAAAGCCTAGTTACACAGGAGCAGAGGTGGCAAGCTAAAATATTAACAGAAGGGAGTGGGAGAGGAGCTCATGAAACTTAATCAATTTAGTAAAAAACACATTTGTACAGTTATGCAATGAATTCTAAGAAAATAGGGACTTGAGGGAGCTACTGGTGATGGATTGCAATTATCCCTATTTAACCTATCCAGTTAGGCTATCCAAGGGTAAGCAAGTTTGCAAATATGCCCACTGTTCTATGAAGGTCAGCAAGTTTCTGTCTCAGGTGGCATTTCTTTTCTGAACTTAATGACATTTTTATTTACTTAATAGTATGTATCCTTATTAGGAGATTCTGGCACACCAAAAAGGGCACTAAGGGCTCACACACAATAGGCACTCCACGGATATTGTTTTCTTTCTTCCCTTCCTTACATTAACTTTTCTGTATCTCAGGTCAGTTTTACCTTAATTTTCTTTTTAAAGCTTCTTTCTTTTAAAAAGTACATATATTTTTCCTTTCAAGTAACATGGTTGTTAAAAGAAAGTATATGGACTTATAATGAAGAAAAATGAAATAACCTCATAATCAAAACACAATAATGATTAACCCTATTAATTTTTCCCAGATTTCCCACCCCAAATATAGGCTCAATTTTTTAGTACTGAATAGGTATTTATACACCCATGTTCATAGCAACATTATTCATAATAGCCAAAAGGTGGGAGCAACCCAAGTGGTCTGTTAATGGATGAATGGATAAACAAAAGTGATATATACATACAAAGGAATATTACCTAGCCAAAACACAAGGAATAACATATTAATACATGCTACAATACAGATGAACCTTGAAGACATTATGCTAAGTGAAATAACACAGTCACAAAAGGGCCAAATATTATAGGATCTCACTTACGTGTGGTGCCTAGAGTAAATTCATGAAGACAGAAAGCAGAACAATGGTTGCCAGGGACTGAGGGCAGGGGAAATGGAGAGTCAGTCATGCTAAACAGGCACAATCTGAGAAGATGAAAACGTTCGAGATAGATGGTGGTGATGATTTCACCACAATACAAAAGTACTAAATGCCACTGAACTGTATGTGCACTTAACAATGGTTAAAATGGTAAATTGCATGTTCTGAATATTTTACCACAATGGAAAAGTTTTTAGATATAAAAGTGATACATGCCCATGACACAAAAGGGAATAAATAAAAGGTGTAAATCGAGAAGTAACGCTTTTCTTATCTACCTCCCCTCCTCAGTTGCACAACCTAGAGATAACTATTTGAAACAGTCTCATATTTCTACTTTATACATATTGTAACTGGCATAAAGATCCAGCAGATCCCCTTCCTTGACTTTGAGTGACTACTTGGAGCCCTGAGGGTGACCTAAAGAGTCTAGTTTGGTTTACCATCTTAGAGCATGTTATTGGTGTCATGCCTGCTATCCTGCAGCAACTACAAGGGGTAGGACTCTAGGCTGCAAGTAACAGAAAATCTGAGATAAGTAGGATTAAGTAGTAAGAAAATTTATTGTCTTAAATGGGTACTCAGAAATAGGGTAGGCACTAAACCATATTTGCTCTACTGAGTCAGTCAAAACATCAAGTACTATATATTTGTTCTCCCTGCTCCACTGTCTTTAGCACTGGTTTCCACCAAAAGCCTCCTCATGGTTCTAAGATGGCCTCCTAGCCATAAGGGCTACATGCTTTCTTGTCCAAATCCAACTCCTGCTTATGTTTTATTAGTGTAGATTGGCTGAGTTCTGCCCTTGCCTTGTAATAACTAGCAGCAAAGGGATGTTGACCAAAGGGTAAAAAGTTTCAATTATGCAAGATGTGTAAGTTCTGGAGATCAAATGTACAGTATAGTGATGATAGTTACCATCATCAGTACCTGACAGTACTATCAGTAGTTAGTAGTTATCAGGCTATCAGTACATACAATTATCTTTCCTACTAAACATGTTCACCTTCAATATTAAAATAAAAAATACTCCTTCTGAGAAAAGCAGGAGTTACACTACTTGTATCAGAGAAAATCAATTTCAAAACAAAGTAACAAGAAACAAAGGAGGACATTACATAATGATAAAGGGGTCAGTCCAACAAGAGAATATAAACATTATAAATATCTATGTACCCAACAGAATAGAAAGCCCAGATATAAACCCAAGCATATATGGTCAATTAATATATGATAAAGGAGCCATAGGACATACAATTGGGACATGACAGCCTCTTTAACAGCTGGTATTGGCAAAACTGGACAGCTACATGAAAGGGAATAAAACTGGATTACTGTCTAACCCCATACACAAAAGTTAACTCAAAATGTAATAAAGACCTGAATGTAAGTCTTGAAACCATGAAACTCTTAGAACATAACATAGGCAAAAATCTCTTGAATATAAACATGAGCAACTTTTTCCTGAACACATCTCCTTGGGCAAGGGAAACAAAAGCAAAAATGAACAAATGGGACTACATAAAACTAAAAGGCTTCTGTACAGCAAAGGACACCATCACCATCAGCAGAACAAAAAAGTATCCTACATACAGTATGGGAGAATATATTCATAAATGACAGATCTGACAACAAGGCATTAACATCCAAAATATATAAAGAACACACATGCCTCAACACCCAAAAAGCAAATAACCCAATTAAAAGGTGGATGGAGGATCTGAGCAGACACTTCTCCAAAGAAGAAAATCAGATGGTCAACAGACACATGAAAAAATGTTCAACATCGCTAATTATCAGGGAAATGCAAATTAAAACCACAATGAGATATCACCTCACACCAGTTAGGATGGCCAACATTCAATAGCCAAGGAACAACACATGCTAGCGAGGATGTGGAGAAAGGGGAACCCTCCTACACTGCTGGTGGGCATGTAAATTAGTTTAACCATTGTGGAAAGCAGTATGGAGGTTCCTCAAGAAGCTCAAAATAGAAATACCATTTGACCCAGGAATTCCACTACTAGGAGTCTACCCAAAGAAAATAAGATCCCAGATTCGAAAAGACATATGCACCCCTATGTTTATCACAGCACTATTTACAATAGCCAAGATAAGGAAGCAACCAAAGTGTCCATCAGATGAATAAATAAAGATGTGGTACGTATACACAATGGACTACTCTTCAGCCATAAGAAGAAAACAAATCCTATCATTTGCAACAACATGTATGGAGGTGGAGGGTATTATGCTCAGTGAAATAAGCCAGGTGGAGAAAGACAAGTACCAAATGATTTCCCTCATTTGTGGAGTATAACAACAAAGCAAAACTGAAGGAACAAAACAGAGGCAGACTCACAGACTCCAAGAAGGGACTAGTGGTCACCAAAGGGAAGGGGTTGGGAAGGTGGGTGGGGAGGGAGGGAGAAGGGAATTAAAGGGCATTATGATGACCACACATAATGTAGTGGGGTCATGGGGAAGGCAGAGAGAAGACAAGTAACGACTCTATAGCATCTTACTATGCTGATGGACAGTGACTACAATGGGGTGTGTGGAGGGAATTGGTAATATGGGTGATGTAGTAACCACAATACTGCTTATGTGAAACCTTCTTAAGATTGTATTTCAATGATACCTTAATAAAAAAAAGTACTCCTTTTGCTTCATGTCCTCCAACAATACCTCATCTTTCTCCTTTCCTTCATAGTCAAATTCCTTGTTCACCTTCTCCTTACCTCTTATGCACTCAAACTCACTGAAATAGGACTCCCACTGCCCCATTCAACAGATAGTGCTCTCCCTAATGTCACCAACCCCCTCTTTGTGGCTATCCAGTCACCTTTTTTAGTTCTTACCTGATTTGTCACCTCAATAACTTTTGTTATTGATATTTCCAGACTCTGAAACCGTCTCCTGAGTCTCTGTAGTGGTACTTAGTATCAGTCAGGACACTTTTGGCAGCAGGTAAAAGAAACCTCAGTCCAAAGTGTTTCAGAAAATAAGAAAGTCTATCTCACAGAACAGTAAGCTCAGACACAGGGCTGCCTCCCACAGCAGTCGGTTCTGTGGCTGAACATCACCTTGCTTCTTTTCCTCTGCCAACCACAGCATCACCTTCACCCTAAGATTTATTCCTCTCATCACCATAAAACGGCTGCCTGCAGTGAGTAGGGCAGCATGCTTCCCAGTTCTTAAGCAGAGGAACGGCACAGCCTCTCCTCCCAGTCATGAAAAAATGCCCTTCATCTGGTTGGGCCAGTGCAGGTCACACATCCACCTTCAGAACAATAACAGCCACCTGAGAAATGCCATGTACTGATAGGCTGAGGGTGTCCTTCCTGAGCCCCAAGGCTATGTCTGTAGTGAGTAAATATCTGCACAGAATCAGGGCTCTCTTAGCAAAGAAGCAAGGAGGGATGGATCGTGAGTAGGCAACCAGTGGCTTCCACTCTGCTCAATTTCCTGATTTTTTTCCTGGCTGTCTTTTTGGTCTCCTTTCCACATTTCTCTTTCTTGGACTATCACTTAAGTGTTGTTTATCATTTAAGATAATTCTATTTCTATTCAGACTATACTTTCTCTGTGGCATTGCCTTATCTTTGATTACTATCTCTAATCAAAGAGATATTTCTGTTACGTGTTATCTGACTCTAAACTAATGACTCCTAATTAAGGTGTATGTCTGCAACCAAACTGTCTCTTCCAAGCTCCATTCCATGAATTCCAAAAATACCAACACTTACCTAATACTTCCTGTCATAGGCAGAATAATGTCCCACTCCCTACCCCCACCCCAAAGATGTCTATGGCTATGTCCTAATTCCCAGAACCCATAAATACGATTTTGGCTGAGTGAGACCCACTTTGGATTACTGTAAGGTAATAAATTTGTGTTGTTTTAAGCCAAACCTCATGGATTTGTTGGATTAAATAAATTAATGTGTGTGGAACAGTACCTGGCACACAGTGGTATGTAAGTGCTTTCAATTACTATTTCCTTCTTTGAGTAACTCATAGTGAGCTAAGACCTAAATATGAGGAAAGAGCTTGAACTAATATGGATAAATTAAAGGAACTCTGTTCCAAATAAAGAACAACTAGATTAAAATGCAGCTGTCTTCTTTTCACCTCCATGGTATACAGTAATGAAAATACATTATGATTAAACCATATTAGCTACTTTCATCAGCGCTTTCCTCACTTAGATCCTCGCTGCTTTCTCCTTCACTTTCACCACTACTGTCTTCATCACTGTCTTCATCATCTTCCTCAAGATTTTGAGCTTTCTCTGCCACAGAAAGAAAGAGAACTGCTTAAAATGTTTCTTAACATTTCCACTTTTTGAAAAACCATAATTCTTTTGCTTCTCCCCCAACTAAGAAATACTTATTTTTGGAACATGATAACTGAGCTGAACTTTGCTTACTGTATAGAGGTCAAAGTTACTGTATAGAGGTCAAAGTAGCAGTACACGGAAGAGTATATTCTAGCTGGCATAAAGATGTTTATGAATTTAAAGTATATTTAAAACATAGGTCTATAAAAATGTGTTTTTACTATTGTCAATGTAATTCTTAAATAGAAAAAGAGTAAGATGAAGGGTTATTTAGAGGGTACTGGCTTTCCTTGGAGTTGTGGGATAACCCCTTTAATACATGGGGCAGTTGGCATATTCTGTTCCCTCTGCAGACTCTGTTGATGACTGGCGCCCATGGAGCCTGCTTTGCTTGGGCAGTTCCACTCCATAAAGAAAAGGGAGTCATCTCAACCACCCACAGAGGACAAGCTGGTTTCATTAAACCCTCCACGACAATCATTAACCTTTTCTTAACCACTTCCTAAAGATATACTTTGCCAATATCCTAAGATAATGGGTTTTTAAATAGTGACTGTTCATAGTTTCTATAAGAAAGAAGGAATTTCAATTTTTAAATTTACCCATCAGCAACATTTCTTCAATAAGTGAGAAAAACTCCTTGGCCTCAGGATTTTCTGGTTCATAGATTAGGACTGAAAATGGACAACAGAATGTGTGTTACTAATATTCAAAGTGTTTCAGCTAACAGGATCCTCAGAATGCAACTGCAACTGTCAATCAGAGTAAATGAAAATGCACAAAGTGATGAACACCAAAAATTATACCGTGGGTATATCTAAGTGCAAATAGACTGCTCTACTTATCTTAGGTGCTTTGTAAGAGAAATGATCTACATTATATTTTTTTATCTCCTGCCCAGAGAATGCAATCCCCATCACTGTGAAGCTTCCCTCAAAATCCTGTAGCCCAAGTGTTTCTTGACTGTTATTCCCCAAACAAGGTACAAATTCCGCAAAATATGAAGGCTTTGCTGATGAGAAGTCTGTGTGCCTAGAGATCTGTTAATCCCTCTTATCTCGTGTCACCCACCCAATGTCTACATGACACATCCTTTCCTAAAGGCCTGTCTGAACATGAAGGAACAGAGTTCTTTGTTTTTGTTTTTTAATACAACCTCTTCCATGGTAGAGATGCTATTTTAAAAAACTCATCTTTCAAATAGGGAAAACTGATGTTTCTTCTCTCCATTTTGAAACTTTTACCCTAGTTCAGACCCACCATTGCCTACTTAACAGTGTTCTCCCTCCTCTTCAGACCCATTGTTTTTAGCACTATTTATTCTTTTCTATTGTTCCCTTATGTCAATGTGTCATCTTTCCTTTGGACTAAAACAACAGATTTTTTTTAAGGCTTGTAGTTATGTTACCAATGTCCTTGAGGCCAGAAAGATACATACATTATGTTTCAGTGTTTTTTAGACTATTTTATTTTTTCAGATCTCATTCTACAGATCTCTCTGTACCTTCTTCCTACCTGCCATGAGTATATTCTTAATTCTGTATCAGCCATTTAATATGACTCCTGAGCAATACCTTGATGGCCCCCAGGGGGCACTGAAACATCAAATGTGCTATTCACCTGGCTAAGAGGAAGAGAAAACAATCACCATGGATGGTTCAAGTAGGCCCCAGTGGCTCGTAGGTCCTCACCCCATATGGTTTTCATCCTAACACACCAAACACTGTCTTTATTTCCTAATCCACTAACATAAATTTACCATCAATCTGGGTCAGCATGACTGTGTACCTGCTGTTCCAAAGCTGCTTTTAAGCATCCTATAGTTATTTATACATCTTTTAAGATTTCTAATAAAAGTAACTTATTATTCATTTAGACTTGGATGAAAATATGCTTATCATTAGCAGTCTAAATCTTTCTCTGAGGCTAGTCTCTTTATAGAGCAGGGTTTCTCCAACTTGCCCCTTGAAATACTAGTTTCTTAAGATGTTAATAAGTATTTGGAAAACTAGGTTAAATGAAGTCAATCAGGTAAAGTTTAGAGTAGGAGCAATTGCAGGATTTTACAGAACCATTAAAATGCTCATAACTATTATAAATCTTATGAAAGGAAAATGTGATTTCCCCAATGTATTATTCCCATAGAATCCTTTTTGGTAGAATGATTAAGAAATCTTGAATTAACAGTCCTTGGGACACAGTTTAGAATACTTCATACTGGAATTAGGATTACTCCATGGGATTGGAGTATGGAATCAGCTACTTCCATGGTTTAACAAAAATTGCTGTCAAATGTCAATTTTCAGAGTGAGGGAATAGTACCTGCTTTGAAACTTAGCCCAGTAATATCCGTTCTAGGTGATGAATCAAAAGGTCTTCTTACTCCTTGGCAAGCTAGTAGAGTTTGTAAAGAGATAAAAGACTCCAGTACATGCAGTTAGTGTCCTGGGGGTTGTTTCCCAACCTGGGCCTATAAGCAGAGCCCAGAATGAGCCCCAAAGGAAGATGCCAAATGGGAATCCTGGTTCTGCTACTGTCTAGCTAGGTCATCTTAGGGAAACTGATTAATATTTCTGTATCTAAGTTTCCTTTCTTTAATAATCCTATTGACACACTGGGCTGTTTTGATGAATCTATGGGATAAAGAAGACAAAGTTCTTAGTCCAGTCCTTGGTACATGGTAAGTGGTGAATAAATACTATTATTAGTTTTCCTGTAACAATTCTAGACTTAGGAAAAGGCTTGGTACCTTCCTAAATATTCAGTGGATGCTTTCTTCTGGCTGAAGGGCTGGATCAGGGAACCAGGGGGTTCTGCTGCCCCTGGGGTTCTAAGTCCCTCAATCTGGAGACTATTCTAGGGTAGGCAGAATGTTGATCTTGTTCACTGCTGTATCCCTAGGAGAGTACCTGGCATGGAGCTGGGGCCCTCAAAACACTAAAGAAATGGAACAAATGAATACAATACAAATGAATATAGAGGAGAAAGCAGTCCTTTTATGCCTAGATAAAATTATACTCTAGGCTATCAGGAAACTGTAATTTATTTTACTCAAAAAGAAATAGAAAACTTTATGGGAACAATCATTTCTGAAGATAATCTGTATTTGTGCTAGACCAAAATGATGAGAACCAGGTTGGTCCTCAGTCCATTATTCGTAAGCATTTACAACTATTATAATTGATGATGTCTTCCAGGCATATATATATTTGATGTCTCCTAGGCATAAGTGTTTCTTGTGTAGACTCTCCAACTGGCTGTGAGAAGTAGGACTGTGCCCTGCTTACAGGTCTCCTTCTTACAAGAAACAGGAAGATTGACTGGCACAAAATCTCAGTCATGAGATGATCTAAGAAAAATACTTGGGACTCTTTGACTTTCAGTCCCCCTTAAAAAATCACGTTTCTAGGCTGCCTCCAATGTGGAGGAGGAAATGGCATGCAGTGGAGATCTCAGTTCTGCATGAGGCAGCAGCATAATGGCTGAGGAAGTATGAGGCTCATATAAAAGCTGTGTGTGGAAGACAGATACAATTCAAGCCTCTGCCAACAAACAGCATTTATTGGAGGAATGCACTACACATTTTTTAAATGGTAGGACAAGCAGAAAAGGCCTCCATGGGCACCTGGGATGCCAGGTGGGAAGTCCTGAAACCAAAGATATAAATGGCCATATGGTTACTGGTAGCAGACAACATACCAGTAACCTTTGGCTTTGTTTCAATAAAATGAATTTGTAAAACATTTTGGAACGGACAGGGATGCATTATTTTATAAAAATTGCCTCAGATGCAAATAAAGGAAAAAAATATATTGAGTATAGGAACCTTTTCAGGCCTGACTGACCCATAAAAGTATCTATTTTCCAAGTCTGCCTCCTTGACCAGAAACATAAGCTTATTAATCAAATGAGGAAATAGAAATGCAGGAGGATATCAGAGGCTTTCAAGCCAGATGCAGGATCTAATCCTAACTCTGTAGCTGTGTGATTTTTTGTGGATTAGTTCTCCTTGCTAAGCCTTAGTTTTCTCATCTGTAAAGTGGGGTTAGTAATATCTGCCTCATAGAATTGTTTTAATAATTAAACAATGTATTCAAGAATGCTCCCATAGTAGGTGCTCAACACATACATATATAAACATATAAATACATTAAATACACATGCAAATGATGTTTATATACATAAATGTATAAATACATAAATATTTGTATAGAGAAAGGGCAGATGTTCTGTAGAAAAGCTAGAATAAAAAAAGAGACAAAAGAATGTCTGTACTGTAAGCATTTACATATAAAATATATTAAGGTCCATGCTAATTGACAAAAGTTCATTTTGTCTGTTGCTCTGAATAGAGAGGCACTTTAGGCAGCCCTCAGCCAAATGTTCCTATTAGCATCAAATAACTAAAATTTTCTTCTCCCTGAGACAGTCTGTCTCCAACTCTGTTCTTGCTCAAACTTGCTTGGTATTGCTAAACTGAGGCCTCCCTAATTTCACATCATTTGCTGGGAATGTGCCTCAGATTCTGCCTTAGGAGCCAACCCTGCCTTGCATGTCCCCTGCCTTCCACTCCCATGTCTGCGCCTCTTTGTCCACATTTCCAGTCAGCCCCTTCTTTCTCTTGGGAGCAACATTCTTTGCCATTTGGGTCCCTGGATCCTGTGCCTGCCTAAGGGCCCACCCACCACAGCTCCTCTTCCTGTACTCTAATCCTTAGTTTTAGGGGCACCTCTATTTGACACAGGCAGAAAAGAGTGAACAGTGTTACTGGATGAGCCAGTAGGGGTGAAAACCAAACCAATTCATGTCTAATGTCAACCCAAATATTTAGAGTATGTGCTGTGATTCCTGCTTCCTGTCCAGCCCCCAGTATAAGGTCTGGCACAGAGTTGGTGCAAAGTATGTACTTTTTGGAAAGAAGAAGGCAAAGAAGGGAGGGAGGGAGAGAGGAATAAAGAAAGTTAGTTTTTAAAAGGATATAACGCCATTAAGATAGATCAGTTTGAACTTTTCTATCCCCATTGACCTGGCACTTAATATGTATTCACTGGTTCAAGTCAGGCCAATAAGCACTTTACTGAACACCTGCTGTTTACGTAGTATACTTCAGGACTAGCCACTAAACTGACTGATATAATGATATCAGAGCATATATTTTGTAATCTTCAGCCAGAGGCTTTCTAAAATGACTCATGGATACAGAAATATGTAAGTTTCCCACAATTAGGCTCCACAAGAAACTCAGAGAATGGGAAGCTAGAGGCTACAGAATCACTAGCCACCACGGAGAAGAAAGGTGGTATAGGAGGATGAGGTTTGGGTCTCAGCTCTAGCTGTGCCACTGGCTCCCCGAGCAATGCAGAAGCTGCTGCTGAACCTCTATCTGCTTCAGTTTCATTATTTATAAAAATAGAGGATTGGACATAATTTTCTTGAAGAATTCTTTCTGACTGAAAATTCTGTTTGTTGGGCCACTGAAAATAGTTCATTTTATTTTATCAAAATATTTTATTCGATGACTCTAAACATCAAAGGGATAAACAAGGCAAATTATTTTGGACATAAAATAGTGTTAAAACATTCAAGAAACCCATTTAAAAAATCTGCCAATGATTTCCTAAGTACTGTATCCATAGTGGGGACTGTGTGCGGCAAGTGAGAACAGGCCCTTTCCACTTCAAGAACTTTTACCATAAAACTCAACTCTAATACTAGTTATAATATTTTGAGGCCCATTATCAATCAAGTTTAATTGCAGAGTTGCCATTTTCTCTTTTAAAATAACTGACTAATATATTAGAGAAAAAGATAGGCAAAATAGTTGAAAAGATTGTGGATTTCAACAGCTGGAAGCTTTCAAATCATTAAATGGATTTTCTAAAATTAGAAAATACCATCTTTGAAATTAAGAACACTGGACAGTTAAAAGCAGGATTGGACATAACAGAAGATAGGATTAGTTAATTCAAAAACAGGTCAGTAGAAAAATATCCAAACTGAAGCAAAGAAATAAATGGAAAAAAATAGAGCTGAGTGCAAGATACATGTGGAACATCATGAGAAAAAGTCTACTTTATGAGTAATTGGAGACCAATGTAGAGAGAGAGAATAGGGCAGAAGTGATCATTGAAAAGGTAATAGCTAAGAAATTTTCAAAATTGAAGAAAACATCAACCCCCAGATTTAAGAAACTCAGCAAACCTTCCTTTGTATAAGAAAACAAAGCCTTCCTTTGTAAATACAAAGAAAACCATAACTATTTTGAACATGAAGTCAAACCACTAAAAAACAAAGACAGAAATTAAAATAAAGTAGATCAGAACTGCACAGCTACATGTAAGAGAATAAAACTGGATTATTGTCTAACCCCATATGCAAAAGTAAACTCGAAATGGATCAAAGACCTGCATGTAAGTCATGAAACCATAAAACTCTTAGAAGATAACATGGGCAAAAATCTCCTGAATATAAACATGAGCAACATTTTTCTGAATGCATCTCCTCGAGCAAGGGAAAGAAAAGCAAAAATGAACACAAGGGACTACATCAAACTTAAAAGCTGTACAGCAAATGACACCATCAACAGAACAAAAAGGCATCCTACAGTACAGGAGACTATATTTGTAAATGACATATCTGACAAGGGGCTAACATCCAAAATATATAAAGAACTCACATGCCTCAACACCCAAAAAACAAATAACCCAATTAAAAAATGGGCAGAGGATATGAACAGACACTTCTCCAAAGAAGAAATTCAGATGGCCAACAGGCACATGAAAAGATGCTCCACATCACTAATCATCAGAGAAATGCAAATAAAAACCACAATGAGATATCACTTCACACCAGTTAAGATAGCCAGTATCAAAAAGACTAAGAACAACAAATGCTGGCAAGGATGTGGAGAAAGGGGAACCCTCTTACACTGATGGTGAGAATGTAAGTTAATTCAACCATTGTGGAAAGCAATATGAAGGTTCCTCAAAAAACTAAAAATAGAAATACCATTTGACCTGGGAACTCTACCCAAAGAATATAAATTCTCAGATTCAAAAAGACATATGCTCCCCTATGTTTATTGCAGCACTATTTACAATAGCTAAGATATGGAAGCAACCTAAGTGTCTATCAGTAGATGAATGGATAAAGAAGAGGTGGTACATATACAGAATGGAATACTACTCAGCCATAAGAAGAAAACAAATCCTACAATTTGCAACAACATGGATGGAGCTGGAGGATATTACACTCAGTGAAGTAAGTCAGGCGGAGTAAGACAAGTACCAAATGATTTCCCTCATTTGTGGAGTATAACAATGAAGCAAAACTGAAGGAACAAAACAGCAACAGACTCACAGACTCCAAGAAGGGACTAGCAGTTACCAAAGGGGAGTGGTGGGGAAGGGCGGGTGGGGAGGGAGAAGGGGATTGAGGGGTATTATGATCGGCATACATGGTGGGGGGGTTCAGGGGGAAGACAGAATAGCACAGAGAAGGCAAATAGTGACTCTGCGGCAACTCACTACACTGATGGGCAGTGACTGCAATGGGGTATGGGTGGGACATGATAACAGGGGTGAATGTAGTAATCACGTTTTTTCATGTGAAACCTTCATAAGAGTGTTATCAATAATACCTAAAAAAAAAAAAAAAAGTAAAGTAGATATGTCATTCCTGCACTCAAGTGTCTAGTGGTTTTGCACATCAGAAAAAAGCCCAAGGTCCTTAACTTGTGAAAAGGCACTATGCAATCACACAATGTCCATCCCATAACCTCTCTGATCTCGTCTCCTGTCACCCTTTCCCTTGCTTATTCTGCTGCACTTACACTATCCTTCTTGCAGTTCCTCATCAGACACACTTGCATCTCAGCACATTTGCTCTTAGTCCTGCCTGCAACACACTCCCTGCAGATGTCCACATGACTAATTTCCTCAACTTCCTCATGTCTTTGCTCAAGTCTTTCAGTGAGACCTTCCTGAATGATGCTATTTAAAAATGCTTTACCTCCTCCCAGTGCTTTCTATTCGTTCTTCTCTGTTTTCTCCATCACACGTATCCACTAATTACATATGAGCTTATCATCCGTCTGACACGAGATATTAATGTGGGACTGTCACCATCTTGTTGACTGCTCTATTTCCAGTGCCTAGAAGAGCACCAGGCACATGTAGCACTCAAATATTCATGGACTAATTGCCTGTAAAGCAAGGTATGTTGCACTAGTTGACATGTGGAGACCAAAGGCATAATAAGGTCTTTAATCCATAATCATAAACGTAAGGAATTTTACTTATTTTCCAGTGTTGGTAATTAGTCTCTAATTAGTTAGTTTATCCCACTCAAAGCTACTCTAGAGGTCTACATTACTCCTTATACCAAAGCCAATTTATTATCAAGGAATCACTGAGATACTATCAGGGAATTTACTAGCCTTGAAATAATCAAACCATCTTACATATTATGGAAATGGAAAAGTATTTTGTACTTACTCATCTCACATAATTTTTTTGCCAAATGGTAATCTTGGCCCATTTCTGCTCTCAGGAACTAGAAAACATTAAGAAATTCTTCATATAAGTAGTTTCAGAGAGAATTTAAATGTCAATTGTAAACTCCCTAGAAAATATTCCATTAATGACTATTTTACTTTTAACATTACACGTTTTTCCAGGAGTGAGTTTGTAAATTAGTAGTCAATTAAGAATATTTAAGGACTTCTCATGGCAAGGCAACATAGAGTAAGCATGATAGCTCTACTCTGCTGCTTCCATACTATATATGTACTAGTAAGCAATTTGAGCATACGCAACAGAGATGGTGAAGACAAACACTTTAATATCACTTTGGTTTAGATACAGCTTTTATTTGTGAACTTAATCCATAATGACATGATAATAGTAAAAAATTTTAGTGTACATTTAGTAAAGATGTTGACATACAATTATATATAATCAGTATTTTCCAGTATTGCTTATACTGTCCAGTTCTGTTTTTAGTATTCTTATTGTTGCAAAGTAATGCAACAATAAGAATGTTGGAAATTTAGAAGTTAAATATAAACACATTCTGTCCCTAATTTTAAAAAATCTATAGTTCTACCAACTAGAGATGCTTATTTTTAACATCTTCATGTATGTTTAGTATTCTTTCCTTTGACAATATATTTCCATATATATTTTAAAATATATTTTCCATAAATATTTGTAAATATATTTGCACATATTTATAAAAATTGGTATTATTCAGCAATTTAAAAAACTATATATCATACATGGTGTAGGGGGGTCACGGGGAATACAGTGTAGCATAGAGAAGACAAGTAGCGACTGTGGCATCTTACTATACTGATGGACAGTGATTTCAATGGGGTATAGGGGAGACTTGATAATATGGGTGAATGTAGTAACCACAACATTTTTCATGTGAATCCTTCATAAGAGTGTACATCAATGATATCTTTAAAAAAAACTACATATCATAGTAATTTTTTCTCCCTATAGAATTAAATATTCTTATGTATGTTTTTATTTACCAAGGCTACAATTTACTAATCTCTTATTCTTTGTTATTTAGATTTCCATTTCAAAAAAATCCTGAATTTGTATGATTGTTTTTGTGTGTGTGATATATTCTGAACCACATGCAGGTACACTACATTTACCCTGCAAGAAATGGAGTAAGTAATATAAAAGAGGCATTTCTCATGCATTTCCAGATATTTGACAAATAAATACACAGATGCCATTTTAAGAAGCAGTTGATTGATCACAGCTAGAAAATATGACCAGTATAATATGCAGTTATTGCTTTTATACTAAAAATTTTTGTGGAAAATTTGAGTATATATAGAAATAGAGAAAATAGTAAAATACATGTCCCTAATTTTCACCTTCAAAAAATTAACATTTTGACAATCTGGTTTTATCAATATCAGTCTTTTCCTCCCTGTGTCTAGATTATTTTAAAGCAATTTACAGATATCGTCTCATTTCATTTTTAATTAAAAACTCTATCACATTTTTGTTATCATACATACAAAATTAACAAGAATTTAGTATCAACTATTACCCAGTCTGATTTAATGAAGCATTATATTAATAATACTAGCCTCAGAAAATGAAAAGGAGTAAAAGATGGGATCAGTTTCAAAGGTTCTTTGCGTTAACCTACTTTTTGTTGTTGTTGTTAATTAAAAATACATTTCTTTTAGCAGTTCAAAAGACAGTAAAATTAAATTCATGCAATGGGTATTTGGCTAAAACTTTCATGAGTATTAAGACTTCAAAATGAAGCTGAAGACAAGTTTTAAAATATTGGTCAAACTATTTGTAACATTCAAAATAAAGACATGCTTAACATCTAACTTCAAAACATGAGTTTTGATGGAATCCTGACTGGGAAAGAAATCTAGCTATAAAAACCATTTTAAAGTTGGAAATCTCAATTTGAATATAATATTTCATAACAGAATTGCTATTTTTTTATATGTGATAAGGGTATGATGTCACGCTGAACAATGAACCTTTTCTTAGAAAACTCATGCTACATAGAGTATTTGGGGGTGAAGTTTGAGGATGTCTGTAACTTAATTTCAAATGTTTCTGTCAAAAATATATATCTAGGATTTATCTATGCCTAACTATGAAAAGAGAGAGATAAAGCAAATATAGCACAATGTTACAAGTGGTGAATTTAGGTAAAGTGTATACATGTGTTCATTGTTATAATCTTTCAACTTTTCTAAAGGCTTGAAAATTTTCAAAATAAAAAGGGAAAATTAAAAAGGGATGCATTCTGAAAACAAAAGATCTTACACACAGGTACAGCACAAGATATGAAAATGAGCAAATCTCATACAGTCTGAATATTTATATGAAAATGAATTCATGGACTACTTTTATAATTAATTATTTAAAAAGAAAGAGTAGAGAGATTCAAGATGGCAGTGTGAGAGGTGAGACAGAGAATTCCTCCCAAAACCACAAATAATATGAAAATAAAGTTAATACAACTAATCCTGAAAGAGCAACAGGAAAGAAGTCTGCACCAGACTGCTTACACCTGGAGAACAGAGCAGACTTCAAGAAACAGGTACCAAAGCTGAGCCCTTTCCCCACCCCAGATCATTGGCTGGAGGAAGAGAAATGCAGTGGTGGTGGGGTGGTGGTGGTGGTGGAAGCCTAGGACTGCTAAACATCCAGCCCTGGAGATCTGCTTTGGGAGCACAAACCTACATTGCATGGTGCTCTGGAGATTAGTAGGGTTGGAGAGCTAAGACAGGTGGAACACTTGGAGAGACTGAGATTCCAGCCATTTGTGGAAGACCGGGTTCCATATCTGGCTGCTCTGAGACAAAGGAAAGGCGGGCAGTCTGAGAGGCTTCCTAGCAGCTAGAAGGCTGCAGAAGGGGTGGGATTTGCATGGAGCTTACTGTGTGGGAGAAGGGATAGATGGACAAGGTTGTCTGGTGTGCTCTGCCCAGTAGGTTTGGAACTTTCAGGAACTTCAGGCACTCCATCCGCTTGACTAGCTACTCAGATCTGAGGAGCCCCACTGTGGTACGCAGCCTGCTGTATCTTCCTCCTGGCCAGCTGGCCCTGGCTCACAAAGCAGCAGTCCTGCCCTGGTGTCAGGTCAGCCAGAGGGAGGCCCCACCTATGGCAGCTACAGACGCAAAGCTCAGAGGCTTAAACCTCTGTGCTCGGCCCACCGGTTCAAACACTGGAGATAGGCATTGGAGCCTGGAAGCAGAAAACAGCTCTTTCCTCCCCCAAGGCACCAGCACCACTCCCCTGCAACCCCCAACATCACTCCAGGGGCTGAGCAGCTCCAGAGAGAAGAGCTTCTGGGCACTAGAGGGCACCACATATGAATATGAAATGTCAAAGGGACCTGGATCAAACCAAAATCTCAGAAACACCAGAAAAAGGGCCAAATGAAGCTGAACTCACCAATCTTCCTGAAACAGAGTTCAAAATAAAAATCATAAACATGCTCATAGAGGTACAGAAAAATATTCAAGAACTCAGGGATGTATTTAGGATGGACATTCAATCATTAATAAATTCCATATCTGAAATGAAACATAAAATGGAGGGATTTAAAAGCAGATTAGATATAGTAGAAAAGTTGTTAAATGCAATAGAAATTAGAAAAGAGGAATACAAAGCAGGTGGGGCACAGAGAGAAAAAAGGATCTCTAAGAATGAAATAATATTGACAAAACTGTGTGCCCAATCCAAATGGAACAATATTCGCATTATAGGGGTACCAGAAGAAGAAGAGAAAGGAAAAGGGATACAATGTGTCTTTGAGAAGGTAATTGCCAAAAATTTCTCAAATCTGGACAGAGATAGTCTCTTGGGCCATGGAGGTGCACAGATCTCCCAACACAAGGGACCCAAGGACAAGAACACCAAGACATACAATAATTAAAATGGCAAAGACCAAGGATAAGGACAGACTTTTAAAAGCAGCAAGAGAGAGAGAAATGATCACATACAAAGGAAAACCAATCAGAATATCATCAGACTTTTCAACAGAAACTTACAGGCCAGAAGGGAGTGGCATGATATATTTAATGCAATGAAGCAGAAGGGCCTTGAACCAAAAATATTCTACTCTGTAAGATTATCACTTAAATTTGAAGGAGAGATTAAACAATTTTCAGATAAGCAAAAGCTGAGAGAATTTACCTCCCACCAACCACCTTGATAGTGCATTTTGGCGGGAGTGCTATAGATGGAAGTATTCCTAAGGCTAAAATAGCTGTCACCAGAAGAAATGAAACCACAGGAAAGAAAGTAGAACAATGAATTACTAAGTAGATGCAGAATCAAATCAACTACCCCCGAAGTCAATCAAAGGATAGACAAAGAGTACGGAATATGATTCCTAATATATAATGAATGGAGGAAGAAAAAAAGGAGGAGGAAAAAAAGAACCTTTAGGGTGTGTTTATAATAGCATACTAAGTTAGTTAAATTAGACTGTTAGACAATAAGGGAATTGCCCTTGAACCTTTGGTAACCACAAATCTAAAGCCTGCAATGGCAGTAAGTACAGACCTATCCATAATCACCTTAAATTTAAATGGTCTCATGCACCAATCAAAAGACATATAGTTACTGAATGGATAAAAAAATGAAAGCCTTCTATATGCTGCCTACAAGAGACTCACTTCAAACCCAAAAACATACACAGACTAAAAGTGAAAGGATGGAAAACAATATTTCATGCAACTAATAGGGAGAAAAAAGCAGGAGTTGCAGTACTTGTATCAGACAAAATAGACTTAAAAACAAAGAAAGTCACAAGAGACAAAGAAGGACTCTACGAGAGATTCAAGATGGCGGCGTGAGAGGTAAGATGGAGAACTCCTCCCCAAACCACAAATAGTATGAAAATATAGTTAATTAATACAACTAACCATAAAACAGCAACAGGAAAAAAGGCTGAACCAGACTGCATACAGACATCATGAATAGAGCAGACCTCATGAAACAGGGTAATGTACAAAAGCCTAAATCTGGCAGGACCCAAGCCCT